TATATAATTCTGAATTTTGGATGAATTGTATTGGATATATGAATTCTACTGAACTTATTACTAAAGAATTTTTTTAAACAGATACACAATTCCTCTTTGTGCGAATGATGTCATCTCAATTAAATTGTTCTGATTCAATTCAAATCTGGTTAAAATCAAATGTTGTTCACTTACCTCAAAGATGAGATAGTCTTTCATCTCAAAATTTGAAGTATTTTCATTCAGATCGTTAACAGATTTTGAAATTTTTTAAATTTGGGTATCGAAATTACTCAAGTATTTGTTCTGTTTATTGAATGAATAGTATTGTTCATTTTGAATGATGTTTGTTGCTTCAATAATGTATTTTCTAATTTTTCTTTAATGCATTGATTTGCGACTTGATATAGGTAGTATCGTCTTCATGAAGTGTGCCAAACAATGTTTGTGAAACAGATCCTATTTTCTTGAAAANAAGGTCGACTCTTTCAGTTGTATTGCCAATTGCATATGCAGGAAATTTTCTGTGAAGATTCCTGCACTGACGCCTGTCGGATATAATCCAACGCCCTTCGTGGTATTTGCCAGGGGAGTAGTTGTTTTCTGATGGGCGTCAGTCCATTAAACCTAATGTGTACGTATATCGAGACTGGCTTGAATGTTTAAAGTTCATTTTGTTTTAGATTGGTGGGGAATATCAACATGAATTTATTGCTAGATAGCAAATACACAAATTAATATCTGAATCTGATGGGCGAATACAATTTCACCTCTACTATCAATGTAGCCACCAGAAAAGACTTTTTTGCTACCCACTGATTTATGCTCTGCGTTTGTAATTGACAACTCTGTCACAGATCATTCCTCCACCGTATTAATCAATATTATAAACCACAAACTTATCAGAAAAACATGCGATGATGCGTACTTTAGGAAATTCATTGATTATGAACAATTGAGAAAAATAATAATGACGCATAGCTGGATAGAATTTTATGAGATTGAGGGAGTAGAGGAAGCAGCTGAATATTTTACTGATATAATAAAAAACATGATCGAAACACACTCTAAAAGTATTAAATACAATAGTAACCACAAAAAAAAGGAACGGCCTGGCCATGGGGATCGGCGGTGCGAACGTCGAAGCGGGAAGCGATGCGACCATTCGCGCGACACCGTTTGCAGGTCACGGGCAGTCACGTTCGCCGCCGCGACCAATAGTCCGACAGCAAAATGTCTTTTTCGAATTTATCTTGATATTGCTTGGAAAGTAATAGTTTTTTGGTTCAAGACCTAATATTTGTAGGAGATTGTGGAGTACATGATTTAAATAAGAATCGGGGTGTAGATGGAGAATTCCACAAGTAGTACGAGAAATACAGATTATACCCAGAAACATTTTTGAGTATACCAGGATGAGTATTTAAACCTTCCATTATATTCTTATGAATATTCAACCAGAATTGGAGAAAAAACTTAATGCAAATAGAATTTTAAGTGCTGCTTACCTATCTATACATATCCATCTATATTAATCTATATTACGTTACCGCAAAATGATACTCTTTCTGCCAAACAATTTGGCTTCCGAAATGATAAATCGACTCAGGATGCTATTTCTTTCCTAACAAGACAAATGCATGATGCACTTGATAAAGGAGTGCGTGTCACTTTGTTTGTTTCTCGACCTTGCTAAGGCGTTCGACACTGTCGATCATTCACAGTTGTTGGAAGCCTTGGACAGTATTGACATCCGAGGAAATGCTTTGAAATTATATCAATCTTATTTGGACTCAAGAAAACAATTCGTGACTATGAACGGATGTATAAGTGTATAAGGAAGGATGTATAAGTATAAGGAAGAACTGTACTTTGCAGAGTTCCACAAGGAACAGTTCTAGGGCCAATCCTATTCGTGATTTATATAAACAGCTTACTCACCTTGCAAACATGTCGAAATATCATCAGCTATGCTGACGATACAGCTATCTTTTATAGCGCAAATTCTTGGGACAACTTGAAACATATCGTTGAAGAAGATTTCAGCCGCCTGATAGATTGGTTTAATCACAATCTTCTCACCGCTGAGCTGTTATGTTTCCAACTTGCCTAATTATGAAAAGTTATTTTTCAACAATCACGGAACTACTTTTGAAATTAGCGCAACCGACCAAATCAAATACCATGGTGTCGACAACGTAACAAATTCCGTCAGAAAATTAATATATAAATTCAGAGTATTATCAAAGATGTTTGATATGCCTGAATTGATCACAACTTATTATGCACTCGTTGAATCTAGGCTCTCGTATGGCATAATAGGCTGGGGTGGTGTAGCTAGCACACATTTAAATAAATTACAAATTTTACAAGGGGCCAGTCTTATACCAAGACTTTTCAACACCTTGAGTTCAGAGCTCAGACAATCTCCTTGTTTGATATTCAAAAAAAGTCTAAAGAAATACATCACGGGCGTAGATCGAATGAAAATACACGATCTTATTGATATGAGAAATTCCCACCAATCATAACAGGAAATATATATGTGTACACATGTATCATCTAGTTCTTCAATTTTGGAATAATAAATTGACTAAATTACCAATCTCAATGTATATATGTACAATTTTGTCCCTAGAAAATAAAACAACTACTTTCTGA